AATAGTGATTAGAGATTGAAGTGTCAATGTTATATTGCCAGTGTGTTATAGAGATGATATTTGTTTGGTAAAAGGTTTTGTAAACTTGACCAATTACAATTTGTTCGTTGTAATAGAATAAAACCCATAGTTTGTGAATTTTAGGAATGAGGTTGGTTTGATATGTAAAAAAGTTAGAGCTTTTAGGTTGGAAGTAAAATATGATAGCATGAGATAGATTATGTTCAAGAATAGAGTCTTCTAAGTAATTAAACCAAAGTGGTTTTTTGCCTTTAGAAATATATAGAATTCTAGAAAATAAGTGTAGCAGTCTAACAAGATCTTGTTGTTTGCAGAACAGAGTTGCTCTAAGTATAAAATGTATTTGTGTCTTAGTTGTTGTTTGAAAGTATTATATTTAGAGTAGTTAGAGAGAATATTTTCTAGTGGAGTATTGCTATTATTTATAGTTTGGGCCAGGAGAAGTCTGAATTTGCATGTATAGAGATATGTAGATAATTAAAAAGTTGTATGATTTTCAAAGTGGTAGATGTTTGTTAAAGCCATCAATAATGGGGTGGGGTGTTTAAAAATATTAGTTGCAAATAAGAGGTTGTTTTGGAGTTGTTGAAGTTGAATATGTGTTGTAGTACCAAGTGTAAAAGAATTATTAATTCTATTAAGAAAATCGCTAGCATAATATTGTAGTTGAATATTCCAGATATTGTAAATATTATAAAGATTATAGTTGAGAAGTGTGCTGTTGGGAGTAGAGCAAGAGAGATGTGCTTTGTGTTTGGCTATAATAAGGTATTTGCCCAAGATTTGGTTGCATTTGTAAAGAGGAATTACAATATTGTAAAGCCAATATTTAGTAGTTGGAATAATAACAGTATTAATGATATAAGTGATTTGTTTGTTAGTTATATTTTTAGTGCTAGCGATATTGGCTAACTGAATAGCTTCATCTTGGATTAGTTTAATTTGTGAGAACTGTTTGTTGTTGAGAGTAAACCAGTATCCCAGAAATTTAAAGGGCTGATGGGGTGGAATAGATTACAGAGAAGAGTTAAGAAATGAGAGATTAGAAGAAGATTTCTTAGTAATAAATATGGATTTGGTGGAATTTACTTGGATGTCAGCTATTGAATAAAAGAAGGAAGCAGTTTTAATAATTTCTTCAAGTTGTGTTTTGGATTGAGCAATCCATAATGTGTCGTCCATATAAGCAAGGACTGAGATAGAGGTTTTAAGGTGATAAGTAGAAGAGTAGATAAGGCTGATTTGATAAGAAGTAGAAAGTGTATATTCAGAAAAGTGTGAAAAGATATTGGAGATAAGAGGGTCATAGTAGATTCTCCAGAAAAGTGAGGTAATAGTTTCACCTTGATTAATACTATTTTTAACTGAGTAAAAATTGGTAAGGCCAAGATTAGTAATAACATAGTTGGTATGAACAAATAGAAGATTAGTTAGAATATTGATGAGCTATTAAGGCATTTAAATTCGCTACAAAGATTTTGAAATAGTTCAAAGTTGACAGAGTCATAGGTTTTATTTATATTCTGAGAAAAGAGCCAAAGTTTGTTTGAATTGCAGTTTGCATCTTCTATTATATTATTAAGAATATAGATAGATATGGAAGTGAAGTTAACAGGGAGTGCAACAAAGTTAAATAGTGAGAGAATATTGTGTTGAAATAGGGTAAGGTTAAGACGATTAGTAAGGAGTTTAGTATATAGTTTTTTAATATACTCTATAAGGCTGATAGGTCTGGTATTGGATAAGTTGTTATCGAAGATAGGTTTTTTAGAAATAGAGAAGATACATCCTTTTTCCATTAGTTAGATATAGTCTGAGAGGAAAGACAACAGTTAAGAAAAGATGCTATCATAGTAATGAAGTTAGGACCACATGTTTTATCATTTCGTAGCTAATGCCTGATGGGCTATAAGCTTTATTGTTAGAAAGTTGATTAATAGTTTATATGATTTCAACCTCAATGAAGTTGAAGAGGGTATTGGAATACCATGTAGGTTTGATATTAGATTTAGGATTGTATTCTGTTTACTATTGAGAATTGAAAATATTAGAGTCAATATGTCAAGGAGCAATCCAGTTATTAAAGTGTGTTGAATATGAGATTTGATAGTTGAAAGGTTACTAATAATATCATTATCTAGTTTGATATTGTTAAATTTAACTGGATCTTAGTAGCAGTTAAAAATACTATTAATCATAAAAGTAGGATAACATCTTTTGTTGATAGTATCAGAAATTTGTTGTCTAATTTCTTTGATATTTTCCATATTATGAGCATAGAAGAGATTTTTTTATTCTAAGTTAGCACTAGAAATCCAGGGAGTGAGAAGTAGGTGTAAACTTGGGAGTTGAGAAATATGTAATTCTGAGGATTGGTTAAAAGAAGAGATAGAGTTGTTAAGATGATAAGAGATTAGTAATTGGTGTTTTAAAGCATATTTAGTTTGTCGAATAATATTTCCAAGTTTTTTGAGATTTGAATATAGGTGAGTAGCCTTAGAAGAGAATGTGTATTGGAAATTACAAACAGTAAATTTTTTATTAGGAATATGTTTAGAGTAGCTATAATTATACTAGTATGGATTTTATATCAAGTAGTTTCAAGAGATTCTGAAGTGTGAATTAATGAAAGTGTGTAGTTAGAATCGAGATTGGTATTGATTTGATTTGAGAATTCTTTCTATTTTGTATTATTCATTCCTTTAGTTAAAGACTCTTCTGTGAGTGTGTGTTTTATGTCTGCATTGGCTATGCAAAGCATGTGGGAAGAACCAGCAAAAAATAAGAATTTTATAATTGCTTAGTGAATTAGTATCTGTATTATCAATATCAAAAGAGATGATGTAAGTTAAGATAGTGTGATAGGTCTAGATATAGTCAACTTTGTTGCTAGATCTAGAATTTTGCCATATGGGAGCAGATGAGGAAGTGTGCAAGGCAAGATTGTACATGTTATTATATGTAAGAAATTGGAGAAGTTTATATTTGATAGAGGAAGAGAGGATATTGTTGGCAGAGGCATTAAAGTCTCAAGTACTATAAAGAGTATATTAAGAGTATAGGCATCTTTTATCTATTGAATTATTTTATTTTGGGTTTCAAGTCTAATTGAGCTATTATCACAAGAAAGGTATATTGAGATAATACGAAATATGAAGTTATGTTGAAGAAGAGATCCATAGAGATAGCATAGCCTGAAATAGATTTAGTATTGTGTATATAAAAGGTTAAGGAATTGTGAATTATAATGAAAGTTCTAGCTTTCAAGCTATCTGTGCAAGATTGGAAGTATATGTAGTGTAATGTTTTGAGAGGCTTTAAAGTAAGTTTGTTGCTAGCTAGTTTGCTTTCAGTTAAGCAAATAATGTCAAGATTATTAGAGAGACAATAATCTTTCCAAACTTGCTGCTTAAGATTTTTGTTAAAACTTTGAATATTGTGTATACATAATAAAAGATTGAGAGGTGAAGAAGAATTGTTATCATAAGTGTTGTGATGTAGGATTTCAGGGGAATGAAAAAGTTGAGATAGATAGTATTGAGATAAGGTACGATGACATGATCTGGTAGAGGGCAAGTTTCTTCTAATAAATAAATATGAGCTTCACTATAGTCAGTTTTGACAGATATAATAATTTGTTTATAGAGTTTGTTCTACAAACCAATTGTAAATATATGTAGAAAGAAGGAATTAAGTGTTTGAGAAGCTTGAATCAGAGGAGAGTTTATAGATAGAAGAAATTGGATAAAGCAGATAGATAAATCATAAGGTGTGGAGGGTATTGTAACATAGACCTTATAAATGTCTTTTACATTATCGCTTACTATATACCTGGCTCTCACAGTTCTGCAAGAATTAGAAATACTCTGGTTAGGTATTAGAATACTGTCATTATCAGATTTTTCAGGTGTCAAGTATTTATTTGCAGATTATATTATGATTTATATTAAACTTTTTTTTTTATAAGTTACTATTGTTCTGCACTTGACTAATAGAGCATTATTTTAGAGATATTTTTTCTCTTCCTTTTCTTTAAAAGCCTTTTTCGCCCTTGCTGTATTTAAAAGTGTTGGGGTATTGGCGGTGTAAATAACTTGTCATATTACCTGATTTAGCTGTAGGCAGCTTACTTTGATTTAGTTGCTGTGGTTGATTGAGCAGATTTCTGCTACGATAATTCAGCATTGGCATAATAGTCCTAGGTTGAATTGGTGGTGGTGTTAACGATTATGATGAAAAATAATATCAACTTTATTCTAGTAATTAATTCTGAATAGCCAAGTACTTTGCTCAGTATAGTAAAATCAAAAAGTCGAATACTTTTATCTGACCAGTGATCTAAATAAAACATACCTGAATACAACAGCTATAAAATTTGATATGAAAACAATATGTATATATAGTAATCATAATCTTTTTATATGAGATATAAAAGATATAAAAAAAATTAGAAATATAGAAGCTTTCTATACTATTTGAGGCGTAGAGATAAATAACATTATAGTATATCTTCACATTGTAATAGTTTTTATATGTCTTATTTAAGATATACCATCTTTAGATAATACCACCTTGTGATATTGCGAATGACATGTGCTGTTTTCAGAAAATACTTTTGTCACTTATTCTACTAATAGTACTATTAGATTTTGGAATTTTGATGGATCTGTTAACACAACTGGTTTAAATGTTTTTGCAAAAAGTAACAACACTACTTTAAAAAGAAACATTTATAGCAAAGAATGTATAAAGATTATTTGAATCCACTTTACTTCACCAACAATCATTTCACTAAAAGCTCACTTAGCTAATATCACACAAAGAGATAATTTTCTAAAATATATACTTGCAACTAATAAAACATTAATCCTAAATCTAAGTGATGTCAGCTAAGTGAACTTTCAGTAAAATGATTGTTGGTGAAGTGAGTAGCACCAGATTATTTATGTGGATCCAGAAGAAAATATTGCTTAAGCACTATGAAAACAAAATATAATAAATCTGGTGAGTATTTCAAAAGTTTAAAGAATCATTGTAAAAATATTTTTATCTTGTTAATTATATATTCTGTATTACAGATTTCACAGAACAGCTTAGTTCTTCTGCTGTGAAATTAGTAATCAGTACTCTAAAAACTAGTCCTGATAGAAAACTAATAGCATCTGGAGATTGTGGTGAAAATTTAAAGTATTTTTTAAGTATGAATAATAAATGCTTTCCTGTTAAAACATACTAAATAGATTTATCTATTTTATTTAGAGTACATGTTCTTGATACTTTTAAAGAGATTACATATCAGGAAGCACCTGATGCAGAGATCTTGACAATTAAATTTACTAACAGATGAATGCCTAGTAAGTATGGATACAATTTAATATAAGTAACATCTTTATTAGATTTATCAAATTCTATAGATGTTTATGTATTATAATTTAAATGATGTTGCTGTTAGTTCTTTATTAAATGCCTATACATTGTTATTTTATTTTTAATTTAATTTAAATTTTTTTTTTTTTGGTATTAAGATGACTTTCATTGGTCTGGAAAACTTTTATTAGAGTATAGATGGAGTTTTATATATAATTACAACGATAGTACATCAAGCCACATGTGCACCTTTTAAGTGCCTAATTTAAGTAGTTCACCTGAAGGTTCTACACTATCTGCTATACCTGCACCCCAACTAGGGGAGTAACTATTTAAACTATCTGGTTCTAACTACCTCTATCAGCCCTCTAATCTGGAGGGTTTTCTCACTAAACTAAGTAGATATTAGTAACACCCCACATTGGCTTTCACACCCTGCTTTAGAACTTACTACCCATATAGGTCTAGTCTATCCTCGAGATAAACCTAACACAGTAGTACATGTCCTACATATGTATTCACGTGCTTTTTCCTATAACTTCTTCTTAATTGATCTGCCATTCCATATTCGTATCTCATGCCACCTTTTGGGGTGCTGCTATTCTACGGATATTTCTCAAGCACCAACTTTCTAATTAGGCATTTATTGCATACTCATTGCTCTTGTTTTGGTTCTTAGCAACCCCAGTACCCTGCATTTAGACCGTCTTCTTACCCGGATTCTTTATCAACCCTCCCTTACTTCCAGCTGGCAACCCGGAAGAGTCGGTCTGCCCAGACCTTAGGTGCCTAAAGAATTCCCTCCTCTTGGTCCATACTTTTGGAGCATATGTCCTTTTTCTTCAGTGCGACAACCCAGTGGTTCAGCTAGTATGCTCTCTGCCATTAGGACCTGGTCGCTCAGTTCTCCAATCTCAGGCCCCGGTTCAAATTTAGCCTTCCTGTGGTACCATCATAGATCACTACTACCTCCAAACTTAGAACTTGCCAAACGGGTTTTTGGTTATTCTGGTTCTCTGGATTTATTGTGCCAAAGCTTCTATTACTAGATGGTGTAACCAAGGTTACAGATTAATCTAAATCCAACCAATAGAATGCCGTCAACCATACACAGGCCTATTTTTTAAAATTGTTACTAGTAGAATTCAAACTCTAGACCTGCCACTTGGAGAGGGTGATGACTAGACCACTACACTAAGTCACCACATCTCCTTTTAATTTAATTTAATTTAATTATTTTATTTACATATATATATATATATATTAAGCATACCAAATTCAATTACTACTGCAAGTTGTGACAGAATCTTACACATTTTTGATGTTAATAATAGTTTTCAATTGATTTAAACTTTGAATGACTATTCTTCATCTATAACTGTCATAAAGTTTATTAATAATAGTAGTAAGTTGATTAGTTGTAATATAGATAAGAGTATTATATTCAGAAGTCGACAAAATACAGGTTAAAACTAGACTTTTTTTTATTTAATACATTATTTTTATTGATATTATCCAAATTAGATCAGATTATTTGATTTATATATAAGGGAATAAATAATAAAGGAGGATTAGAATTAGAAAAATTGTATAGGGAAATTTATTATAATGATAATATTAAAATAAGAGTATTGACACCATACCAATAAAACTTATATAATTGATATTAATGAAGGCTGATTACAAATTAAAATTTTATTATTTATCAAAATTTTTTTATTTAATCAGGTGATTCTCAAAGTTATATGCCATACTATAATATCTCTGGAAGAGCAACTATATTTGATATAGACATTGATATATCATATCAGTATATAGCTACAGTATCAGGAGAGTATAGACTAAATGTTTATTATATTGATATAGGTAAAAGTATGTATTCATACAAATTTGATACAACCAAAAAGGTTAATACTGCAAATCAAAAAAGCTTATTCAGAATTTTTTTGAACCCTAGCAGCATATATGCTGTAACTGGTAAGTTCTATAATATGTTAATCTTGTCTATAGGGTTAAATCCACACACAAAGGATATGGCTTTGGTAAAGTATCTAGATAATTCTGTGTTATTGGTTTAAAAGAGTTAATTATATTATATAAAAATATATATATATAAATATTTATAATCAAATACTTACCTGAATTCTATTTGAACAGGTACATATGATATATTGTTGACTCACATCGATAAAATAGGCGCTTTTGACTTGCAATATTATAATGAAAAAGATATTTGCAAAAAATAAGATATCAGTGTAAATACTAAACATAAGTAAAAAATATACACATATATATTATCATTATTCTTTAAATGTTAAAGGTTGCAAACTTGCAAATTAACCCACTTGTTTATTAATTTATTATTTGTAAACATATATAACAATTCATTAGAAATTACGAAATAAGTGTGATCTGATTTCTGACAACATGCAGCATCAAGAAAATTGTTATCTTTTAAATCATCTAGAATACCAGATTGCTCATCAAGTACTTGCGCAGTTTTTTGTATTGGTTGTTTCTAAATTAACAATTTTTAAAAGAAAAATTTTAAGATAATATAATACTTTATATTTAAATAAAGATGAGTAAATCTACATAGCTTTTTTTGATAAATTTCTATTAGAATCGAAATATCAGAATTTTACATGCCTCAAATACCTCAAACTAGCCGTTACAAAAAAAGAACTAGTCCTATTAAATACTAATGTAGTGATTTTGTTGTAAGACTAATTTTACATCTAACTACAGCACAAATACTATTCAGATTTTTTTCATTAAAGTTTTAAAATATTTTGTATTAGTAAATATAGTTCTGAAAGTGACAGAGTTTTTTAATACATTCAAATTTTTGAAAGTGTTTGATAATTTGACTTACAAAAAATATGCTAACAACTAAGTGTTTGGCAACTTTTCGAAATGATAGTTTAAAAATTTTTTTTAAATATTTTTCAGTGAAGATGCTTTGAAAGTATGTTCAATAATATTTATATTAGTTATCTGATCTTAAATTACATATATATGCTAAATTTTTTAACTTAATCAAATTACGAATAATTTATTAGAAAATTTGGTTATCTATCTGTTAATTCATATTCATGAATAAATAGATAAATAGATAATGGATCGAAACACTAGTTTGTATGTGATTTTTAATAGTTTGGGTGATACAAGATTAACTATTTTGCTAAAATTAGGTTAGCATTAGGCTCTTCCTATTGTATGCCGATTTGTGTTAATCAGAATTGCCTATTTTATAAACTTATACAAATCAGGTTGCTGTATCAATTTGCATCAATTAGCGATATGGTAAATTTACAATTTAATATCAATTGGGCATAAATCAGTTTAAAATAAGACATATACCCAATTGTTCATATTCTGACTAGTGGTATTCAAATAATAAATGTAATAACAACTGAATTACAATATTACAGTACTATATTATCATATATAGGTGCTATCAAGGGAAAACCTACAATTGGGCTTTCAAGTATATTTTGTATGTAGTTGGTTATCTGTGTGCTATCTATATAAATCTATTATCGGATATAGATTTACTATAGATAGTACACAGATAGCCAACTATACACAAAATATACTTGAAAGCCCGATTGTAGGTTTTCCCTTGATAGCACCATATATAAAGATAATACTCTTTTGGTATGGTACAGTTTTGAGTTTTGGAGTATGTTACAGTATATTTCTAAAGTACATATATGTACTTAGTAATTTTTGTGTACCTAGTAGATACGCAATTTAATATATATTTATTTAAAAACTATATCTAATAAAAATGTTTATTATCTAGGTATGGTGCTGTTAATATTTTAAATATAGTCTTCCTTTCATATAATCACCTTCTATATAATCACAAACTCTATATAATTACATAATTTTGTATAAGCATTTTCTTTAATATTAAAAATACCTTTATATAATTACAATCATAGTACTATCACTATCACATTTTTTTAAAAAGCTTTTTTACTAATTTATTAATAAAATTACTTCTTTAAAATCACATATTAATAAAAATTTTTATTAAATTCTATAGATTTGTAGAGATATCTTTAATTAAAATTTAAAACTCAAATTTTTATAATAGATAGTATTAATATTCTAATATTAAATATATAAATTTCAGCAGATTTTGGTCTGGTAGTTATTGAATAATCGTTTGTGTTCAATAGTCAATATTTTTAAAACAATTAACTATCATATACAAATGATTACTTGAGAACAACTGGACAAAATTGGCTGCAATTTTTATATATAGTACACAAATATCAACCCTATCTATTATAAAAAGATGAGCCAATTTAGATCAATAGTTATCGAGATATTTAGCATCAAAGTTTGGATAAAAATAGCAAATTTTTTTTAATTATTATAAAATTTTTGCTATTTTTACTCAACATTGACGATGGGTATCTTAATAACTATTAATCCAAATAGGCTTATATTTTAATCATAGATAGTGTTGAAATTCTTATATTAAATTTACAAATTTCAGCAGATTTGGTCAAGTAATTCATGAATAATCGCTTGTGTTCAATAGTTAATGTTTTTAAAACAATTGACTATTATATACAAACGATTATTCGAGAAATACCAGATTAAATAAGCTGAAATTTTATATATAGTATAAGAATATTAATACTATCTATTATAAAAATTTGAGCTGATTTAGACCAACAGTTATTGAGATATCCATTGTTAAAGTTGAGTAAAACTAGTTTATATTAATTAATTATTAAAAAAATTTGCTATTTTTAATCAAACTTTGATGAAGGATATCTCTATAACTATTAATCTAAATTGGTTTAAATTTTTATCAATGATAGGGATAATATTCTTGTACTAAATATTAAAATTGTAGCCCATTTTGTTTGATATATCTTGAGAAATCGATTGTATATAATAGTCAATGTTTTTAAAAAAATTGACTATTGATACAAGTGATTGCTAAAGAATTACTAGACTAAATCAGCTGAAGTTTTTATGTCTAATAGAAAAACTATTATTCTATCTATAGTAAAAATTTGAGCTGATTTGAATTAATGCTTATCAAGATATCTATTGTTAAAGTATTAATAAAATAACAAATTTTATTCTATTTAATAGATGTTTTAAAATTTATAAATAAAAAATATTATTTACCTTTTAGAATTACATTATTTTAATTATTCTATATTATGTGATTTTATAGAAGTAATTCTATTTAATTACCCTTCTGTATAATCACCAAAAAGTGCTAGACAAATTGGATGATTATATAGGAGAAAGACTGTATATACTAGATTTATAATTTGTTTACCTTATAAAATATTATTCTTTTGGGTATGATATAGTTAATAGTTAAAACATGTATTGTGTATTTTTTGTTTTAGAGTATAATTTAGAATATATATAAAGTAATAATTTTAAAATTATATCAATATACAATTAGTACTATTTTTGAATATATTTAATATTTCAATTATTATAAAATGTACCTAAAGTGTTTTAGCACCTATGTATAATTCCTTTTAATAAAATTTAGGATTAGGGTTAGAAAATTTAGAATTATTTTTTTTTATATAATATATTATAGAGCTAATATAAATGCCTGATCTTAGTTCTTATAAGGTTTTTAGAGATCCTGAACATTTTTACTTAAAGAATCTGATCCAATTTACTTAGTACGTTTTTGAGAAACGAACCTATGGTGTAAAAACACCATAGATGCGTTTTAGTAAAAGTGTAATATTTAATTTATAATTATAGTTAACAAAAAATTTTTTGTTTATTAATAATTGGATTTATTAAATATATATAATTTTATAGTTATATTATTGATCTTCCTACTTATAATATGCTAATCTCTGTCATAAAAAAAAGTAACAGGCCTCATGAAATACTTCTGCATTAGCAGGAATATTTCATGGGCCTGTTACTTTTTTTGTGACAGAGATTAGTATATTATAAGTAACTCCGTTAATCAGAGATTTTTAAAGTCTGCCTTAGTGGTGGCATTACATAACTTTTGCTATTTTGCAGCCCTGTGAAATTGGCAAAATTCAAACTCCACCAAAATAGAGTTTGAAACTCTGCCAAGTGATGAAATTTATGTGATCTATACTAGTATGATCACATGAATATGTAACATAAAATTTGAGAAGGATGGTTCCGTTCAACTTTTTTGATATGAGAATTATGTCAGTTATATTGAAACGTGAGAGAAATGAATTCATTCAACTTTTTTGATATAAGCATTATATCGGTCATATTGAATTTTGTAGGAAATTAATTTAAAAAAGGCGAAGTATACCATTCGTACATTTTTAAGATAGGCTGAGATGTCTGTAATGGAGATAATACAAGATGACATATTTGATTTGGACATTTCAGTTTAGTATATTTTGTTTTACAAAAAAAAAAGGTGGAAAGAAGTAGAAGATGTGTTAAATGTAATATAGGTGAATTTATTGGAACAATTTATAAGTAAACAGAATTGGGTTTGCGAAAAGTATCAAATTTGCAGTGGAAATTATATTTATAATATGTGGTGAAAGTATAAAAATCGTATATTGACGGAAGTATGGAAAAAAAATTGAATATGCTTACAAAAAAAAAGAGGGCATGTCATATATGGTATCATATATTGGGTTTGAAAATTCAAAACACATGTAATGAAAGTGGGTATTGATAATGTGAAAAAAAGGCAGAGATTTTAATAATGACATACAAAATTTGTAATCAGTAAAAATAATGTAATAAATTAGAAGCAAAACATAGTTAAACTAGAATAATATATAATAAATTAGTAATGCATAGTGAATGGCATGATAATTAAAAGTCAATTACGATGTGCATAAGAGGCGAAAAAAAGGTGGAAAAATTACTTTTGCTTCACCTTGAATGACTAATGATAGATGAGAATTAAATTATCAGAAGTTAATATAATAATTATTAATATCCTTACAATGTTACAATCTTGAATGTGAATACTGCAATAGTAATTTACCAGTTTCTTTAATTTTAAAATTGTAAATACATATGTAAAAACACAGATATATTAACTTAATATGATTACTTTGATATAAAAAAGTTACCAGGAAGTTTTTAAAGATAAGATAAATTAATTACAGTATTATGACTACATTTTTATATAAAATAATCTTTTGATTCTATTATAAAAGTATTACAACCTATTAGTAAATAGTTTATGATGTAATGTAAGTATAAATTATTTGAAATTTTCAATTATTATATATGTTGAATAAAAATTTTAGTCTTTGTTTAGATATTACAACAATTGCAAATATATAATACAAAAACAATGTTTTAGTTCTAAGGATTAGAAAATTATATCATAAAACTTACATTAGTATGATGATTAAACTGCTTAGCCTTATTAATTGTATTTATATATGAATTTAAGAGATTGTTAAAGAATATTTCTATAAATGAATTGAAGAAATCATTGAAGAATATTTAAACAAAAAGAAATTATAACTTATTTTTGCCAACCATCTATGTAAAAAATGAATTTGTTGAATTATGATTTATCAAGTATATATTAATATTGAAATTACTTCTTTTTCTTTAGGGACTATAAATCAAAACACAGACAACAGAAGGAGGCAAACAAGCAGACAACAATGAGAGAGAGAGCAACAGCATAAACATCAAAAAATACATCATATAGAAGAACAAAATAAACATATTAGAAGTATGTGTTCTTGAAATGAATAATGAATTTAATTTAACAAAGAAATAACATGAAGATTGGCTACAACCGATTGATAAAATTGGCATAAATAATGCATTAGCAGAATTTTGAGAAACTGTTAGTTGTGATATACTCAAGAAACTACTGTGTGCAATACGTGCAGAGTTATTTTTGTATAAGCACTTAACTACTATTTCTACAGAAGAAATATATATTTGTTGAAAAATTGGTTAAAAGAACTTAGAAGACTTAAGTTAGAGTAATTGCTAAATGTTTGGATATTAACAGGTCTTTTGTAAGTCGAGTTCTCAAGCAATTTCAAAGATATGACAGTGTTGATCATCACTTTAAAACATTGTCAACAAATATTAATAAAATTTTTAATTTGTGTTGTATTTTTTTACAACCCCTGATTGTATGTATTTAATTTTTTTTTTATTAGTGCCTATTCGTATTATACTATATTGAGTTTGTATATTAAAAAGGCAAAATTTTAAATAAACAAGTTTGCTATACTATAAGTTACCAAAGATAATTAAAGATTCACAAAACAAATTTGAAGTTTATATGTTTATTAAGAAAGTCCAACTTATATTCAAAATGTTTTTAGTTAATTGGCAAGAACAGTTTTGATATAAATTTTTGTATCATACATATTGGATAAGGCAAAAAAAAAAAGTTGAAATAGTTGACGTTGTGAATATAATATTATATTGTATAAACAATACGCTATAATAATAGTAACTTAGTAATTTTTTATATACTAATTATGCATTAATCATACTGAAATCTAGCTATAAGACCCAATTTTTTGGCAATCCAAAACAAATGCCGAAATCTAAAACATATACTATAATCTAATTTATTAAGGCCCAAAAATTAGCAAAAAATTAAAAACTAGAACTCAAGCAATGCCGGGTTCTACATGCTAGTATTATTAATTATATTTAAATTTACAATTTTTAATTTAATTAATTAATTTATAAATTTAATATATATCTATAATTATATTTTATCAAAATAAGAATAATTTTTTTTAAAAAAAAATTCAGCAACCTTGCTAATACTTTATTAGATATAAATCTCACATATCTATTTCATATCTATTTCATGAGTGAGCTAACTTTAACACTGGGCTAAACATGTTACTTCTAAATTACAAGTATTGTCTCACATAGCTCTTTGCAACAAAAGTCTTCTATGATGAAAGTCCAAATTATCCAAGTGCGATCTGCTATAGTAAAATTTCTTCTCTATACTAAACCTTCCTACTAATGAAGAAATTTAATATATTACTGAGCAGCATTTATGGCCATCAAGATTGCCTCCTCTTTTTAAACTCTAAATCTTCTCCTTCTAACTTCCTGAGTAGAAAGAAAACCTTCTAACTACTCAATAAAAAAACTTCAAGATCAAAGAAAAAAAAAAGGAAGTTTCAAACCAAAGTGAGAAATACCAAGATGAATACCACAAAAAAAACTATATAAAAACCTTTGAAAAGAAAAAAGAAAAAAAAACAAGATAAAAAAAGAAGAAACAAAAATAGCAGAAGCACTATTGTAATCTATGCCAGGTTAAAAAATATTATATATGTGACTTCAGAATAATATATATCTTATATAATACTAATAAAAGCACCTAAAACAAACATAAAACCCTTTCATGTATTAAATCCACAAATAGAAATCACCACATGCTCTGCATGTGTTTTATTTTCCTAATATACCACATCGCAATGACAACTTCTAAAAATAGAAGTAGTAAACAATATCAGTTGTTTGGGAGTAGCCAAATTCCCAAATTTTTTTGAAAAAAGTTAGTAAAAATGACAACAGGATAAAAACAAGTGCAGGAAGTTCAAAACCTTAAGAGAAAGTATTGAAAACTGAAAAAACTGATATACACGTGGGTTCCAAAAGAGTCCTAATAATTTTATCAATAGAAGAATACATATCCTCATTATTTTTCTCCTTTGTATGGTTTGCTTCTGGCTTGCATGTTGAATATAGAGAGGAGTTTCTGAGAGAAGGTTAATACTTTGTTTGTCTCTAAAAACCATTATTGTAGACCTCTTGATACTGTAGACTATAGAACTTCATTGACGGAGATTTTGTCTGCCAAAAATTTTTGCTAGCCAAGAGTGACATTAGTATTTTCCTCTTAACAAGATTTTTGGCTTGTATACTAAATGAATAGTAAGGAGTCTCTAGAAAATATTAACCTTTAAAGCAAACCATTACTATAGCTACCCAACTCTCTACCAGTTTTAATATTTTTCTTTTAGCAGAGAAAATAGTACAGGTAATTGTCAGAAAAAGTTATATGAACTCAATTCTAAATTTTTATATTATATTAAAAAAAAATTATGTAATTATATTTAAAATATATTAATTATATAAATATCTAATTATATATTACATTAAAAAATAATTATGTATTATATTTAAAAATATATAAAATGTATGTAAATATCTAATTATATTATATTACATAAAATAGTTATACTGTATGTATTATTGTATTTAAAATAGATAAATTTATATAAATATCTAATACATTACATTAAAAAAAATAATAGTTAAAGCATTTATTAATACATATAAATATTTAATTACATTATATTAAAGAAAATTAATTATATACCAGTAATTATTCATATCTCATAATAATTTTATTGATTCAATCATATAATTTATTACAAACTTTTTTTTGTACTATATCTAAAAATATATACATAACTTTGGGTACAGTACACTTTTTTTATATTACTATCTTTTTTTCGTACAGTATCCAAATTATTAATACTAGATTTGGGTACAGTAATATATTTTTATTAAGTATATATTTTTTTGTGTATCTAACAAATAAAAAAAAAACTTGGTACAATAATTGTTATTTTTTTTGTGTACCCTGCTTAAAAAAATTTATCTGGGTATGGTTACTTTTCTGTACTGTATCTTATCAGTAGTGATGCAAAATGGCTCTGAAGAACCATAAGCTGACCAGCTTAGCTGCGTTATTTAATGGCTTCACATAATACAAGCTAAGCCATTAGTTAGCTAAACCATTAGTTAGCTAAGCTGATTTGGAGCCGTGAGCTAATTATATGACTCTAATATGTTGTAATCACTATAATAAATATTATGACATAACTAATATAAATAATAAACTTTTGTATTAATAATAAACTTTCATATTGTTGATGTAAAACCAGTGGTTTTTGTCACACTAAAACCACTATCACAGGACCTGAAAACATGACTAGGATCTGATTCCAGTTCCTTCTCAAAATTAACAGAAAATCAGAAGAAATGTGTTCCCCACAAAGTCTCTAAATAAACTAAGCCTGAAGTAGTCTTAGGAGCGTGAAAGGAATAGGATGAATTACAAAGTATCAAAAAAGATGCTATGAAGTCATCTATGATACAAGTAGCACTCAGAAGGTCCCATGACTATGGATTAGTGAATTCTTGGATGAGGCTTAGGGAGAAAACCATAGGATAGCTACCTGGCTTAAAATGCTAACCATCTCTCAAAAAGGCTAAATGAGACAGTGGTACTGATGGGTAAGACAAGCCAACTGAAACCAAATTGGGAAATCATATTGCCATGTGGAATAAATATTTACAGTCACGTAAGCGAAGGTCTAATCATCTCATCTAAAAAATAGACAATGTGATGTAATCAGGAGTTGAAGTTCTTTTCAACTTTTTTTTATAACAAAGTATCAACTTTTTATATAAATTAATCTGCAATTTACTCTGGCGAAAGGGCAGTTCAGTTCCAAAATACAATAATAAAAATTCAATCTTGAATAAACAAAAACTTTGATACTTTTGGTAGTGAACCTTTGTTTCCATATAAACCTATAATAAATCAACTCTAAAGCCTTTTCCCTCACCAAATCTAACCACCTCACCATTGTTGGTTTGTTGTGTAGTTTTTGTTAGTTGTTATCTTCTTGTGGTAACTATCTAGACCCGCTTAAATCTAGTTTAGCCACTAATATTTGTGGTGGTGACTGTGAAATCTAGCACAATAAATCTAACTTTGCCAAAACCATCACAAGTTTTTTATAACTTAAAATATATAAAATTAAAGTATAGCATAGCAAGAAGCAGAAATAAACGTCCTCTCTAAGAACAATGAAAATTTAATCATCAATGCTGTCATCTGTGATATAGGACACCCAGACCAGAATTCACCCAATAGTGATCATAGTCGCATCCCTGTTGTGGATCCACCCATATATGATATTAATAATGATGGTTGCAATGCCCAACTAGCCCCGGAACCATTGCACGCAATATTGTGGGAAATTGCAAATGCATTTAGGAAAGCTATCACTGATGTCGTTGATGCTGCCCATCCCCCATTGTGAGAAACTAATCTAGTAAAGGTTGAACTCTTTTGTGGAGAAGAAGATGAGGACCCTCTTGAGTAGGTGAAGACATTTGAACAAGCTTCAAATACTAACAATTGGTCCCTCAATGTAAGGTAATAATAGCCCAGAATATTTGCGTGGTGTTGCCGCCAACTGGTATGATGGAGTAAAACGAAATCTTCGGCATTGGGATGAACCAAATGAAAGGGACGGAAGTTTCGTTCCACACTTTCTACACTACTTTGCAACTCCAGAAAGGTGCTATCAATGGCAGACCGATTTGAATTCTTTAACCCAATATGACACCGAAAAAGTGAATATATACGCTTACAATTTCAAAAGATTGTTGCGCCAAGTAGACCCAAAAACTGCCTTCTTCAACTGTATATTGTGCAAATGTTTTTGAGAGGTTTGAAGCCAAAGATAGCATTGTGGCTAAGTGTGGCTGACTCTCACAACCTGGAAGAAATACTGGTTAGTGCCCAAAAAATTGAAGCTGGTGGGTACTACAGTAAATGAAATAGAGTAGAAAATCGAAATACCCACTATGAAAATGACTTGAATCACCTAACCCAACAAATGCAAGCTATGTCAACCAACTATGAAAAGCTTGTCTCTACGTTGGCAGCTAGGATCGAAGCAAATAAGGCCAGACCTCGGAATAACAATAATTAAGGCGACCAAAATAATAATAATAATGCTGCCTGAATAATTTATTACAATTGTGAGAAACCCAGACATATTTCCTGCAATTGTATATCAGAAAGAGCCTCTGGAAGAAACAATGTCTCAAGGAACCCACCCAAAATTATCCACCAGTTCTGGTCCAAAATGTTAGGATCGACCCAAATAACCCACCAGTACAGATATTGTACCAAACCCGGAATGTGAACTTATATAACCTTGATGATACAGGTTACTAACCGGAAGAGAAAGAAGCCTTTGTAATCCTTGTTTCTCACCACTAGCTGTATACAATGCAATGACCTCGACGAAGTATGAAAAAGTCAGAAAGTCAAGTAGAAGAAAGGTTGAGAACCAACCCACCCATGACTATTATTTCAGTAGCACCACCGATAAATAAAATATCTCAATTAGTGCCCCCACTAGCTACACTAGCCCCTGAAACTCTCCTAGCAAGACCTTGACGACAAAGAGACCCATCATTTATCAACCAACTGGAGCTATATAACGTTGCTTAAGATATTTTAGAAATGCAAGCCAATGCTACTATTGGACAACTCTTATAATATCTGAACCAGCATCGTTTTCTAGCTCAGGCTTTAAGAAAACCGCTAATAGTCAGGTCAGTTCAACCATTAGAAATAGAAACAAATGTAGTTTAGCCGCCAAATAGCAAACACACTACTGCCACCCATTGTTATATTCGAGTAAAAAATAACCCAATCTTTGCCATATTGGACTCAGGTGCCGCTGTCAGTTTGATGTTAAAAAAAAATAATGAAGAAATTAAAGTTGAAGATTGATGACCATCTCCAACGGTCATAGTAATAGCAAATGATACTCGAGAGCAAGCTCTAGGGAAAATTAATAGCCTTAAAGTAGCTATAAGGGATATGTTAATCCATACAACCTTTCAGATAATTTAATCCACCAATGACTTACTGTTGTTGGAAATGAATTGGTTTGTGAAGGCTCGAGCCCAGCTGCATTTTGCAGAAAAAAGGTTGTACTTGACATACAATAGAAAAACCAGTAAAATACCAATCTCTATGGATAGAGACCTCCAAACAAACTTGCTGTCAAACCATCTGAAAGTGAAGATACTTTTGATGAGTTCGAATATGATGATGAGGCTTTGGATAAAGCTGAAGGATATTTTATGGAAGGAACTCTCGAAGAAGACCTCTTTGAGAACCCGTGGAGCAATTATTAGAGCTCTGCGGTATGTCTAGCAAATGTAGAGGAGTTACCAACCCTAAACCTTATTCCTGAGGAGGAACTACCCATTTAAGAAAAATTAGAGGAAAACATGAAAAATGCTCCTTTAAGCTCAGAGAAAAAAATAAAGCCCTTGAGTTATTGTTGGTAAAAAAAGAAATTTTCACAACTATAACAAACAATTTAGTGCAAATAGAGGTTGTAACATATAAAATAAATATTGTCACTACTCTGATAAAACAGGCCCAGTACTGTAACACTTTCAGCATATATGACTTTATAAAAAAATAAGTAGTACAATTAAAGACAAAAGGGTTAATACGAGAATCAAAAAGCCCATGGGCTTTTCCAGTCATAATTGTCCCAAAAAAGGGTAGAAAACTATGAATATGTGTTAACTATTGAAAGGTAAACGCAGTAACTACTAAGAACACGTATTTTCTTTCGCGAATAGATGACTTATTAGAAGTTTTTAGCTATGCTGCCCGGTTACCTCCCTAGATCTACTATCTGGGTATTGGCAGGTAAAAATTAATGAAAAGAACTAGGAAAAACTTCATTTGAAGTTCCTTTCGGTATGTATAAGTTTGTTGTCATGCCTTTTGGCCTTTGCAACACTCCCGCCACCTTCTAGCATATAATAAACTATGTGCTAGCCGATTTTATTAAACAATTTGTCGTAGTATATCGTAATCTATTCTACCTCTTTTGACGAACACTTATGCCACATTGCTGCCGTTTTGAAAAATTAAAGGCTGTGGGTCTGAAATTAAATTTCAATAAGTGTGCTTTTTCAAACAATATCTTCACTTTTTGGGTCAAATTATCGGACAAGAGGGAGTTCATCCTGATAATAGAAAGTAAAAAAAGTCTAGAAGTTTTCTGCTCTTGTAAATTTAAGGCAACATTGTGGGTTTATTGGGTTGGCTTCATACTATAAGAAATTTATTTCTAACTTTGCTTCAATTGCTTGGCCTCTACATTATTTGTTGATAAAGGATGTCAAGTATAAATGGACCCACAAACAGGAAGGTGTGTTTAAACAACTCAAGTAGCATCTAACGGATGCTTCTATACTTTGTTATTCTGATTTTGACAAGACCTTTATTGTGCATGTTGATGCCTCTGGAACAGTTTGGGCACTGTGTTGGCCCAAAAGAATGACATGAAAAAAGAGTATATTATAGTGTACGCAAATTAGGCTTTAATAGTACTCGAAACGAATTATAGCACCACAAACTCAAATGCTTAGTGGTTTTGTGAGCAGTAGAATATTTACGCCATTATTTTGGTCTGGATCCTTTTGTAGTTGTTACTAACCATGCCACGCTAAAGTGGCTGCAAACTGCAGCATTAACTGGTCGTAGGGCCCTTTGGGTACTTCGGTTACAGCCCTATAATTTTCAGATTGTGCATCGATAAGGAAGGAGCACAGTAACACAGATGTATTATCAAGGCTTTTAGAACTACCCGCATCGTTATCAGTCTCTGAAAAGAGTTTGGGACCCCAATCGATAATAGTTGACTAGAGAAAAAAAAAAACAACAAAACAAAATATATAAAAAAAAAAGAGAGAAAGAAAAAAATATATATAATAATAATAATTTAAAAATCCAGTTTTTAAATCTAGACCAGATTACTGATATTTTGGCTTTGTTAAAAATTTCTTAAAATTACACATATCTTTTGTTTGTTTATTCTGCAGAATTTCTGCAAATAGTGCTTTTTACTATAAACAAGTAGCAATTCAATTTTTGCTTTTCTCTCAAATAACTACCTAAATAAAAAAAAAGAGAGAGAGACCCAGCTAATTTCTTAATGAAGCCCGACCACTATCGACATTTGGCTCAATATCTAGATATGAAATATTTGCTGCCAACCTTAGACAAGAAGCAGCAACAAAAGCTAATATAGAAATCTGAATTTTTCAAGGTAAAAGAAGGCCTTCTATACAAAAAAGACTGACATATGAAAGTAAACTTGCTACAAGTGTTATGAAAACAAGAGGTGGACCCAGTATAGTTTTTGGTGTATACCTATCCACTTGGAGAACATTTTAGCCATAATATTATGTTCAAAAAAGTGTGCAACGTGTACTTTTGGCCCCAGATATACCAAGATATATGTAGATACATCCAAACATAAAATCCATATCAATGTAAAACTTAGCCCTGTATGCAGGCACTGTTGACTCCCATACCCATCTCGGCCCCTTTTTATAAATTAGGGTTAGATTTTGTTGGTCCTCTACCTTGTACACCCTGGTTAAATCAGTACATTTTGGTTGCAACTGACTATATAACTTGTTGGCCTAAGGTACGAGCTATGGAAAAGGCAAATGCACAAACTGTTGCCGAGTTCCTCTATAATAATATAATTTGTAGAAATGTGTGCTCTAGCCTTATTCAATCTGATTGTGGAACCCACTTTCAAAATAATGTGATAAAGCTGCTCCTGAAAAAATTGAAGGTTCACTAGCAATTCTCTACTCCATACCACCCTTACACAAACAGCTTGGTTAAACATTTCAACAAAACGTTATAAGAGGCTATTGGGAAGTTGGTTGAGAACATCATTGATTGGGATTTGTTAATCTCTTCGGTCTTATTTGCATACTGGACTGCTCAGAATGCTACTACTGTCATAGTGACGACCAACGCCCCTTGTGTTGATAGTGCTAGGGTTAGGTATAATCACAGGTTACTCTATCAGGACTGGGTAACATTCATGGTGTGATCGTTGATGCATGAATTTAATTAATAGTCTATTTGTAAGTGTTGCATAATGCGTGTAACTGGGTAATCTAGTACCCAGATTGATAATCTGTAATAAAAGCGTAACGATCCCAGAAGAAAGTTACAGTAAGTAAATTAGTAACATAAACGTTTATCTTAGTGAATACAAGTCCTAATATACACAGTAGTATAGGTGGCAGTGCCTGGTACGATACACTAGTGTGCAAAGCGAGTACTCTAACTAAGTGAATCGAGCCCGAAACCCCTATAAGTGCAAACGTATATGACAAACAAGGACCTGGGCAGATCAAGGTACTACTCACTAAATTTCATTGGAATTGGACTTGTACAGTTCTAACTCAAGGTTCTCAGCAGCAATTGTATATGGTTAAAGTAACCAAAAGAAAAAGGACATTGTTAGAAAATAAACAAAAAATAAATTAAAAAAAGCATAACTTGTGTTGTGAAGTCAAAAGAGAATAGAAGAAGATAATCGGTTAGTCACATTAGTTGAAAACATGATGAAGGTGGTGACCGAAATCATGAAAAGCTTGAATGTGTTTCAAACGAAACGACAACATTATCAACTGCGCTTATGCTATGTATATCAACGCCCAGGACATTTAGCTTGATCATGTCTATTGCAAATACAACTTACGAATATAGTTAAAGAAAAGAATCAGAATATAAACTGGAAAACAAATCACCATAAAGAGAAGAAAAAGGATACAAATCTGAATGGTAAATCCAAGTGGTGAAGATCTTTAGATGCGTGGATGCGGATGGTGAAGGTTTGGCTGGACGTTGTTACCGAAATGTGAATAATATTAAAAGTGATGAATCAAAGGCTCATAAAGCCGAAGTTGAAAGGGTTGAACATAAAAAGTTTATTCATTATCAAAAATCTGATGATATAGGTAATGTTAATGGAATGTTTGTTGGATATTGTTACTATCAAGGAAATGGTATTGAAAAGGATGAATATAAGACGCTCCTTAATCATAAAAGATCCACCGATAAGAATGATGAAACATTTAATAAAGGTTGTTACCGTTATGATGAAGATAAATCGAAACATGATATTGAAATGAAAATAGCAATGAATATAATGACCAAGCCTACAGTTGTGAATAATGAAATGATATTAAGAAGAGGAATGAGTTATGCAAAGCTAATCAGATACAATCATGAAGCTAAATCTTGGAGGAATCAACGAAAAGCGTGAAGATCTTGTGGTGACTGGAATCCAGAACAAATATTAAATGTGTTGAATCAAAAAAAGAAAAGAAGGTTTTACGATCGTATATACTTGTATCTTACGATCGGCTGCGACGGTGTAGAGTATGTGATATTTGGGAATTGAATCGACATGAGTTTGGGTTTGAAATATTAATGAAAAAAAAAATATTTAGTGTTTGTGCATATTTAATTTTAAATCTTTGTGTATATAAATTAATAATTAGCATTAGTGTTGGGTTGTAGGAAATTATTAAGTAAACTTTGGGATGAAGTTCATTGGGGATCTAGCTCCTGTCGTGGTGACGACCAACACCCCTTGTGTTGATAGTGCTGGGGTTAGGTATCATAGGAAGACATTCATTTAATTGGTTAATTTTTGTAGATCTACCTGTAATTTCTATGATAATTAACCAATCACAATGCATAATTTTTAAGAACTAAGAAAACGTTAGAAACCGAATAAACTTACATAAAGAAGCAAAGAAATTTACAAAACTAATAAATATGCATAACAAAGAATTTGTCACATATTTAGGAATAGATAGACACGCGTAAAGTGTAATAAATTAATATTTATTACTAATAAACCCAAACCCAAGCTCATATCGACCAAAAAATTTAATATACAAATAAATTATTTGTGAAATATATTTACTATTGTTATATTTTGAAAAGCAGTTAAAAGTAATTCAATTTATTTTTAATAATCGTGACCTTTATTAGAGATGCAATATAATCTTTAGTCTATATAATTATTAAACAATACTACTCATATACTCATACACATTATCGACCTACTACTTAATGCAAAGTTATACTTACTAATATCTTTAACTCTATAATAGAATATGTAAACTATAATATTAGTACAAGCTTATTATTATTACAATAGCATGTCAAACAGTATACACAAAGTTCTTTAAGTTAAATCTTACATAAAATGTCTCAATCTTTTTTTTTGTTGACCATTTCCAGCATTTAGAACTTACATATGGTAATATAATAGTAAATAGTAAAAATATTCACTTCTAAGTAAAGTAAGTGAGGAGTGGGATTCTTTTTGAATTCTTTTGCATGGTGAATGTTAATGTTCGTTTAAAGCTAATAATGACTTTTGCAACAATTTTTTATTAGTAAAACATTACGTTTTCAAAAAGTACTTTAAAGTGTATAAATAAGTTACTCAGACAATTGATTTACATCAGCCAATCATATGAAAGTCCTCCTATGAGGTTAGGTACGATCACAGGTTACCTGATCAGGACTGAGTAATGTTCATGGTGTGATCGTTGATTTATGAATTTAATTAATAGTCTATTTGTAAGTGTTGCATAATGCGTTTAATCGGGTAATCAAGTACCCGAATTAATAAAAGCATAACGATCCCAGAGAAAAGTTACAGTCAGTAAATTAGTAATATAAACATTTAGCTTAGTGAATACAAGTCCTAATATACGCAGTAGTATAGATGGCAGTGCCTAGTACGATACACCAGTGCACAAAGCGAGTGCTCTGACTAAGTGAATCGAGCCCGAAACCTCTATAAGTGCAAATGTATATAACACTACCTATATAACCTCATTTTATCTGGTATACAGCCATGAGGCAAAGCAGCCTATCCTCCCAAGCCATTTGGAGGATTTATTGGAGGTGACTATCTTGAAGAGAACTTTTAAATTAATAAATGAGCTTCCCATCGTTCGAAATCAAACTGTAGAAAGGGTAAAAGAGAAGCAAAAAGCAATAAAAACCTACCACAACCAGAAACACCGGGTAAGTTTTGGGTTTGAGATAGGAGAAAAGTTCTCTTGGAGAATGCAAAGAAAAGATACTCCTGAAGCGATAAGTTTGCTCTGAAATGCCTTGGTCCCTTTTATGTCCATGACAAACTTTCCAATGATGTTTATAAGTTGAAGACTATGAAAGGAAAGGTAATTTCGGCCCTTTAACCTGGGGTTGTTAAAGAAGTATTATGAGCCTGACAAACCCTCCAGCAAGTCTGGTTGTTGTCACTAGAAAATTAAAAGAAATAACTCCCAGTGAATAAGGTTGGTCATGACAGTTGTGTGTGAGGTTAAGAAGCACACAGCAAGAGAAACCTTCATGAAAATGTGGGTGCAAATTTTAAGAAATGTTTAAGAGTTTTTTTTGGGATGTGATTGTTGTCTTTTTTGGGTTTAGGTGTTAGATTAGTATCTTAATGAAATCCAAAGAAGATGGATTGACTCATATCTGTCATACAGAACCAAAGACCCAGTCTGATTTTCCACAGGATGTGCAAAATTAAGAAGGGGAGAATTGTTGATATAAAACTGGCAGTTTCTGTCACACTAGAACCACTATCACGGGACCTGAAAACGTGACTAGGACCCAATTCCAGTTCCTTCTCAAAATCGATAGGAAATCAGGAGAAATATGTTCCCCTGCAAAGCCCCTAAATAAACTAAGCCTGAAATAGCCTCAGGAGCGTGAAAGGAGTAGGATGAATTAACAAAGTATCAAAAAAGATGCTATGATGGCATCTATAATACAAGTAGTGCTCAGAAGGTCCCAGGACCATGGATTAGTGAATTCCCAAATGAGGCTTAGGAAGAAAACCATAGGATGGCCACCTGGTTTAAAATGCTAACCAAGCATCTCCAAAAAGGCTAAATGAGACAGTTGTACTGATGGGTAAGGCAAGCCAAATGAAATCAAATCAGGAAATTGTGTGGCCATGTGGGATGAATATTTACAGTTGCGTAAGCAAAGGCCTAATCATCCAAAGATCGTCTGAAAGTAGACAATGTGATGTGATCAGGAGTCGAAGTTCTTCTTTTTTTTATAACAATGTATCAACTTTTTGTATAAATAAACCTGCAATTCACTTTGGCAAAAGGGCAGTTCAGTTCCAAAATACAATAATAAAAATTTGATCTTGAATAAACAAAAACTTCGACACTTTTGGTAGTGAACCTTTGTTTCTGTATAAATCCATAATAAATTAACCCTAAAGCCTTTTCCCTCACCAAATCTAACCGCCTCACCATTGTTGGTTTGTTGTGTGGTTTTTGTTAGTTGTTGTCTTCCCGTGGTGACTATCTAGGCCCGCATACATCTAGTTTAGCCACTAACAATATTAATAATAAACTTTCATATTGATAATAAACTTTCATATTGATAATAAGTTTTCGCATTTATAATAGACTATAACAATATGCCGTAATATTTTGTAAACTATTTGTCATAAATGTTTTTTTTTTTCTTTTAGATACTTACAATACTCGCCCAAATGGATCACAACGACCTTTCTTATATTAATTCCCAAAATTCACAAGAAAGTTTGCAAGAAACTTCTGATAATAATATAACGATATAATAATAGTTTTTTTTTATGTTTCTATACTATCGCTGTTTTGTACTGTACATTTCCAAATTATTAATTACTGAAATATCTGTATATGTATTAATGCTGAATTTAATTTAAAATAAATTTTATATAACGATATAACAATACAATTTAAAGCTGACGGCTCTTGAACGGCTAGCTAAAAAATGGCTTGGCTAAAAAACGGCTTAACTAAAATATGACTTAGTTCTGTTATAGCCAGCTGTTAGCCGAGTGGAGCCGGTAATTTGCATTACTACTTACCAGATAGTTTTAACTGTACCGTACCGAAAATGTATATACTCACATGGAACAGTAAATGTCATAGTTATGATATAATTCTGGTAGTTCTTGTTTCCTTGATTCATAATGTCTAATTTCATGCATTAACTATTAATTCATAGATCGATTGTGAATATATGATTACAAATTTGACTTGATCACAAGAATGTTGTAATAATTATTCAACCACAGTGACTATTCAAAAAAAAAAATCAATAAGACGGTCTATCGACATAGCATCTACATGGTTTGTCTCTCTTATCGGCACAGCAAAAGTTGACATGATTAATAATTCATGTCATAATTTATAGTTATTATGCTTCAATAAGGTGATTAGATTAAAATGAAATGCCAATTACTGTGATGAATACAGTCTCAAAATCAAATGGACGAAACCTGAATCAGAAGGATATTTTTCTCATGATTATTATTTTCACACAGTCATATGAGTATTGTACGCAGACATTGTCCCGCCAATTTTACAGGGACACGGACAGTCCTGGACAATGTCCCATGTCCCATATCCACAATGATCTCCTAATTTTAACTTTGTCCCTACTATGTCCGGGACAGGTCCGTAGAGTAAAACGAAAATTATGATAGACCTAATTCAGAAAGTGTTATCTATTTTGGTATTTCCGATATATCCTGAAAGTCCAAGCATGTTTAAAATTGTATGAAAACACATCAAATACCAGGTGTCTTTAACATCCCTGGTTTTGGTTGTGTGTAAACAACAGTGATGGTATTTTACGCGCATATTAAATAATTTTATTGGCTTATGATCACGTGTCAATTGGCATAGATGTCTGGGACAAAAAATTTTGGCGGACACGTCCGCGGACGTCCCGTCCCGGACTGCCCAACACTGGTCATATGTATGCATGTGTACATACGAAGTAATTACTTTATGATAATGTAACGGCATAGTATTTAATATGTAAAAGTATTAACACTTTCCAAAAAAGGATTTTTCAAAAATCAGCATAGTTAACATCTGAACGGAACCATCCACATTGCATGTGATCGTACTGGTATATACGATAATTATTTTTGAACCTGGGCAATTTTATATATGACGTAGGTCTGGATTCAAAAATTATTATTCATATAAAATTCCGAATAATTCCGGTCTAATTTTTTGATCGTCGCTCTTAGCCAATCAAAATCAAGAATCTACCATGACAATTTTGCTGCGGCAATTATTCAGATAGGTATTTTGATTTTGATTCTTTCTAAACTTTGAGCAAAAATATCTTGGCAACCACCTGATCATATTCAATTAATTTTTTTTATTTAAATCCTATGGATCTATAGAGTTCAAATAAAAATTTCCCTTGAATTGGTCAGTTGGTTGTTCAAGATATATTCGCTCAAAATTTTAGGAAAACTTTTATTTTGACGATTTTTTACAGGAGAATCCCCAAATTTCCGGGTCGTAATGGCCGGAATGCTTCGGGGTTAGGGTTGGGTTAGGGTTAGTGGAGCTATAGTAAAATTATCAGCTGGGCACTTTTCACTTAATGAACGACTATCGTTTCATTAGTAAAATTCTTAGTGATCTTTGGCAAAATTGATCGATTTCCGGCCCATCCAACCAGGGTTCCGAAGACCCGACCCGGAATTTTGGGATCTCCCTGTATGAGTTATTTTGACGGGGTGAAATCCGCGCGGGTTTGACCCTATCGTATTATATTTATGAGTTACAATGGATCTATTCTATCTGTTAACTATGCATGATTCAACATAACCAGTATATATAATAGTAATAATAAATACTATATAAAAGATGTTTCTGTAAGAACTATTAGTTCTGTTGATTTTGCTAGTTTTCTTGACATTTGTAATCTATGCGTTACAAAATTAGGGTGTCCAGAATTATGTGATGCGATTCTATACGCATAATTGACCATTTTTTCGCATCACACCGCATAATTAAAGCATCCATATCACGTGGCGCAAATATGATTGGTCGATAAAGAAAGTTCCAGTATAGAAAATCAACGAACCTAAATTACGAGCATGGTCAAAGTAATTTTTTAACAAACCATTGAGAAATTCCGAATGATTTAGTGTAAATTTCTAAAGAATAGTCGCATCTTCTATTTAAATTTTTCGCATAAATTTAAATTTATTCCGCATTCATCGCATAATCCTGGACACCCTATTACAGATCGTAACGGTAATCACATGATTTAGTATGATCCAAGTCCGTACATATGACTTGGCTCTCAAAAATAAAACCAGTTATTGATCTTTAAACAAACTGCGAATAATGATAGTTTAATTAATTAAATAATTTGAATGAACTATTATATGAGAGCAAAATACATTATCTTGAATATAATGATTTTGAAATATTAAAACTACATCGATTTCAATCTAAATGATTTAGATATCCATTTGGTTCATTAGGTAGTTCATGTAATAATCCGTTATCCATCTTAAAATTATTAAACCTGAACCTAAGCTATCTATATGTATTCTCAGACATTAATTAATTAAGCTAGTTAACTATAGCAATTGTATCACTAAACCAAATAATTACACCACTAAATTATCTTATTGAACTAGCTAGTCTGACACTGGTTACCACCACAACGAATATTTCCACTATTAACTTCTGGGGTTGTCGTGCTTTCACAAATAGAAGGCAAATTAGTTGTGTCCATATAGTTAAAACAATTTCCACGGCCATCCATACCCCATTGAAGGCAGCTGGGATTGTTAACACATGCGTTGCAGCATTCTTGCGGGGTAGTAGCATTAGATATAGGAAATTGATTTGCTAGAACTACAAAATTATAAAACATGTTGTTCCATCCTGGACCACCGGAAGATTGGCAACATGTTGGAGTTGGGGTTGGAGTTGAAGTTGGAGTAGAGCATTTAGAAGCTTTATGCTTAGGCTTATATGCTTCATGTTTAGGCATATGTGCTTTATGTTTAGGCATATGTGCTTTATGTTTAGGCATATATGCTTTATGTTTATTACTACGAGCATCAGCAATAATAGTTAATGCAAGTAAAATTGAAAAAAAAGTTATTAGAAAAATTTGGCGATTCATTATTGTTATAATTTATGGTTATGAATTTACAAGAAATTAGCACTTTATATAAAAAATTCGTAATTATTCAAGTTTAATAGTCGAAGCGAGGCGAAGGGATCTAATTCTTCGTGCATATTTGTCTGTCCGTCTACTATTGGACCAACAACCCCATCTCCATACTAACATTAGCTATAGAATCTTTAACTACAAAGCAACCTCTAACAAACAATGGACACACATACATATTTGTATGCCAGCATGATGAACAATTAAGCATAGTTGCAAATAATGCTACGCATTTACCTAGTATATCATATGCACGTAATAAATTAGCACTTCTAATTATGGGTTATGTATATACTGTACTAATTAATCAAATCCATATCAGGAATCAATAATACTGTAATACGTATATAAAGCAAATTTCTTGCATAGATCGGCAAAATCGATATATTAGGCCACGCAAAGTTGATTTTTGTTTTGCATAACCCGCCGACCCAATTTTTCAAAAAAATTTTTAAGATCCAATTGCCCCAATTATTCCATTTTTGCTATTTAATTTTTTTCCATAAATTTATCCAATATCGCCCGATAGTGAACTTAATTTCCGGAATAACCTGACAGGTCTGTTAAAAAAACCAAAATTTTTGATTCCATGTTATGCAAAACGAAAAATTAACTTGCGTGCATTAAATTTGAGTACGAATCTATTGATTTATAGTAAATTTTTTTTTTCAAAAAAAAAAATATATACGACCGCCGACTGGAATTTCGGAACACCAGGTTATGCAAAACGAAAATTAACTTTGTGTGGTCTTACTAACAACAAGAAACGTGCTGGTGATGGGTAAATGCAGTGAGCTATGCAAAATAATTAATTTTGTTATCAATAAATTCGTAATTATTCAAGTTTATTGGTCCAAAGCGAAGCGAAGGATCTATTTCTTCATGCAATATTTTCCTGTCCGTCTGCTATTTGACCAACAACACATACGTATGCATTTGTATGCCAGCATTATGACTGATAAAACATAGTTGTCGCAAACAATGCTACGCATTTACCTAGCAGTCACACGATTTGTCTCGCAGATCACGGGGGTAAATTTTTTACTATGAAATTTGAGTGATCGACATTCATATGATCGACTCATTTTTCATAGTAAATTGCAACGGTAGGTCCTTTTCAAATGGCATTTACAAGGGTTCCCTAAAAGGAAATCGCACTTACAAGACTAGGCGCAACAATTTAGCCACACAAATACTTTCTTGCTCTTTAGTTTATCCTGATAAAAACAACAAACCTGAGAAGAATCATGCTGTTAAAAACAGCCTTTCGTTTTACTTTTTATAGTACTTACGCACCAGAACCTTGAGCAAAAGTTCACATACCTACCCGGGAATATAAATTTCTGGAGGTGCTAAAATGAATAACTTGCAAGAAGGTATTCACTCCACGTTTAGATTATATTATTTTAATAAGAGATCTATTTAAAATGAATAACTTGTGAGAAGGTATTCACTCCATGTTTAGTTAGCAAGAGATCTATTTAGAATCATAGTTACATTTTTTTTTCTAACTCTTAGATGCTGTGTAGCGTGCATAATGTAGTCTTATTTCTGTACAGTAAAACCTCTATACGTGTGCACTCTTGGGAACCAAACTTTGACAACGTGCACTTAGAAATAAGTGCATTTATGGAGGGTATGTACTGTATATAGTGCTTCGAAAAGGTCATTCGGGTCGGGTTTGGGGTTGAACCCATATTTGTTTGAACAAACCCGGGCTTGAAAATCTCTGCTCATGTATTATTAAAATTATCCGGTTATCAGGTAATTTATTATAGCTCAAATCTCCAGGCAAATTTTTTATCTATACTGTACTTTTCATGCACATTATACTTTTATCACTTGGGGTAGCCTTGGGGTCGTGTGTAAATTTTCGGGTTTTATGTTCTGGGGTCAGGTACCCGGGACCTTTGACCCTTTCGGAGCACTAACTGTATATACAGTATTTGGGCTAGAACTTGAATGTGTATTTGAGTGGGTGTGCGCATAGAGAGTGTCTTGTAAATTTAGAAAAATATATATATATATAATATAAATTCGATTTTTAAATAAAAATCATTGTGAATCAACCGAAATATATTATCAGTATAAAATTTTTTTATTTTATTTTTAATGCTCAAATAAATACAATTGTTTTGTCTCTCATTTTCAGATATTACTGCCCCTTCTGCTAAACGAGCACTACGCAAATTCCCTGAGCATCGATTTGTTTTTTATTTTCACTTTTTATTTTTTTTACTTTTTTTACTTTTCTCAAATATGTAACGCATTGGCTGTCATCTCAACAGGCCATACCTGTGTGACTGTCGTCTCAACAGGTACTCGTCATTTAATTAAGAGTTGGTATCATATTGACTGTCATCCCAACAGGTCATACCAAACTGACTGTCGTCTCAACAAGTCCTAGGATTATTTCAGTGCCCAGTAATGACCGAATGTGAAGAGTTATCAGAAAAATTAAAAAATCATCTGATGATGATAAAACTTGCTTCATTTGCTCTGACTGCTTCATAAAAAATGTAGGTCACTTTCCAATTTGACCAAAAAAAGAATCTAGTTTACCTTTATGTAAAGAACAAGGCCAACACAAAACAGATACTGCGTTAGCTTTAAAGTTTTTTGCTAACTGGATTGAACAGAATGCTGAATCCAAAGATGATTCTACAAAGGAAAACCTACTAAAAAAACTAATTAAACTTTTTAATAATATAACAAAGTGCAAGATTTAGATGATGAATCTGTAATTCCAAGTTGCTTTTTAATAAAAACAGTATTTTTTATTAAAAAAGTTAAAGTTGATGAAGAACGAAAGCCACTATTGAAAAACTCTTATCTAACTCTTGAAAGTATGCTTAAAAAAAAGCTACTATCTCTTGAAGAGCCTGAATCTATAGATGAATACTATCTAGCTATGCCATCTTCTCTTGTTAATTTTTTCTATAATTTGATTTTAACTATAAAAGAAAAAAAATTGCAAATATTGGCTAGAAAAAGAAAAGAGCAAAATATGCCTCCTCCACAGTTAGAAAGAAAAAAAATTGAACTACTTTCTTTTTTTTTCTTTTCTGTAATACTTACCATTGCTTTTCCTTGCTGGAAAATATGGTTTATACATATTCTTACTTCTCTTTGCCAACGACCAAAAATAATAGGAGTTTTGTACAAAATTCTTTATACAGTTCGGGTAATAGCATATGTAAGAGATCATGAAGTTCATATCCAAAAAAAAAGAATGTCTGCCACAAATCCATGGTCAAAAACTCGAATATTTTAAATATCATGGCTTGGCTATAGATAATATTGACATGAAAGATGCAACCTTCCAATATGGCAATATTTTTGAAGAGGTGTGCAAAACTGCACATGCAACAGTAAGAATTGTCTTTCAATTTCAATGTCCAGAGCATATCAACTTGAACAATGATTTGATGGAAGGCTACCCTCTTTTTGGCATAAGTCCTATTATGAAAAAATGGCAAATGAAAGTAGATTTAGTCTTTGAACAATTAGTTAATCAAGGGCTAACTTTTAGCAATAAACATATTGACAAAGCTATTAGAAAAAATATAAAATCGACGATATTTATTGATCCTCCGAATGTTGTAATTCTTAAACCAGGAAAAGCTCCAAGCAAAAATGAGCATGTTCACAACGCTGTTGATATGTATCTAGAAGATTTCGGTTATACTGAAGATGGAGTATTAAATTTAGTATGTAATGAGGCAATATATCATCACATAAAAGACTACAAAAATGAAGACCAACCCATGTATTGTATTCTAGGTTAATGGCACACAAGCAAAGCAATGTGTAGTGAATTAATTGCTGCTTTTTTGGGTTATAGGCTTTTTGGACTTACTGCACAGCTTGGTGTTAAGTTTCTTGATAAACTTGAAAAAGTTGTTGACTATTGGGCTATATTTTGTGTACTTGAACTTCTTTGGATGGCTGTAGGAATTGCAATTCATCAATATGCTAAAAAAAAAATCTCTATTAGTGATATACCCAAAACAAATAACAAAATATTAAAGGTGTGATATAATTTCTATCAGTGGGCAGAATACTTAAAATTGCACAAGCTTGGTATTCAGATAAGAAACTTCGATCTACAGATACATAGTTTGATCTTTATTTCATATTACAAGAAGGTATTGATATGCAGAGTCTGTAGCACAATTTATATCAGATATTTAAAATAATCTACAGCTTTTTCAAAATCTTCAAATAGTGCTTTCAGTGAATTTAACTCAAAAAGGTCATTATTTTGCTATTGATAAGAGTTTAGAAATATATGGAGTAAAGTTTTTAAAAGAAAATATAACTGGTCATGCTTCATATTTAGAAAATTTAAACCTGAATGTTGAATTAGTACAAGCAGAATTTGAATGACTTAGTTTGGTAATTTCAGTATTTACTAATAATCATTCAATAAGCAGAAGCCCACGGTCCATCAAAAATTGTCAAGAAGCTACTTGGAACCTAAGTGATGAACTCCTGTTGAAATTTGGCAATGAAGAACTCATGTTAGAATTTGATAATGAAGAGCCAGAAACATATACATTATTTGCAGAAACTACACAACTTACAGAAGATGGATACCGACGAATGTTTACTTGCTACAAATTAGAAATTCAAAAGATGAATGATATTGTGCAAAATATTTCTGCACAAGCAAAAATAAAATTAGGTGAACAAATTTTAATACCTATGAAAGCAATAAAAAATAAAAAAAGTGTAAGAACAAAAAAACAAACAGTAACAGAATATGATATGGAAATTGAGAATGTTGACATTGACCAAGACTTACAATCTCCAGAATTAAATATAGAAGTTAAGACTATTGACCAAGACTTACAATCAGCATCATCATCTTTAGGATTACTACAATGAAGAAAACAATCTTCGACACATATATCCACACCTATCGAAGAGCAAATTCTGTCAAAGCTTGA